AATGGATTCCAGCTAAAAACTAGTCGAAAACCTAGGTAAAGACCAAATTTGATCAATATAAATTTGTAAAGGACGTAAAACTACACTTTTAAAAGTGATGAACGAAAAAAGTCATTTTACAAAATATGAGAGATGTTTTGAACGATTTTCCCTATTTTATTTGCCTTTTTTAAAATACCTGAACCCACCGCAGCCCCATGAAAATGACAATAATAACAATTATTGGATAAAATAAAATGACTTCTTGGACAAAAAAATGGTGCTTTTTCTAATTCCATGAATTACAACTTTTGGTCCTCCATGTTAATTTTACTTTTAACATTAGTTATTCTGTTAATTTCAACATATTCTCTTTTAGAGAGGAAATGCGAATAGTACTCCAAAACTCCTACTATGGCTCTATTCTATGCTGCTTTGCATAAGTTCCTCTATACCTTTAGATGATGATATTTGTATTTGGGAGTTTAAAGCAATTTCTCAAGTTTCATTTTCTATTGTACCATGTGCAAATCCTAATTTATTCTTTTCAAGTTTTAATTATGACTTCGAATACTAATGGACTGTTAATTATCTTTAAATAGAAAAAATGCATTTTAGTTCTCAATGTACAGGATGTGAACCAAATTAATCCCCAATATTTGGGCCAAAGCATATACAGGCCCCCAAAAGAAATGTAGCCCAAAAGTATTCAATTGTTTGTCATGTTGCATAAAAATCTCATAAAAAGTTATGATAATTACATAAAAAGCTATTAGAATGATAACTATTATAGTAAAACAACAAAAATTACAAAAAATGATAAAAAAAATAAAATAAGTACACTATTTTCTTTGTTACATAGTTTTTGTAAATAAAATTTACACTTATGAAGAGAAAAGCACATTTTACAACTTTAGAAAAAGCCCTACAACTAGATTATTGTTTCTGGTCCTAGACTTATTAGTACACCTTGTAAATAAAGCAAAATAATTTTAACAACCAAAATTTGATTATTGTACATTTTATATTACTTAATCCATGATTATAAGAAAGTATACAAATAAAGAAACGGAGCACATCACATGATTTATGAAGTTAGTAAATCTGCCAAATCTATCATTGTCTTCATTCGGACAGAATTTAGAATTTTACACTCATTTTACTTTTTCTAAATTTTTTCAACCTTTGTGCTTTTTATATAATCTCATTTAGTTCTTATAATTCAACCGATTCTTTAGTTTTTTAAATACATTTTTGGTGACGTCCTGCAACTTTTCAAAGCAACACCGGGGACAAATTTTGCGAAATTAAATATTTGAGGGACTATATTTGTTCAAATTAAAACATTGGGGAATAACTTTGGCCAAAATTGAATATGTTAGGGACTACATTTCTTATGGCCAAGGATCAGGGTTCAATTTGGTTCTCACACTAAACATTGAGGACTAAAATTTCAATTTTCCTTAACTTTTTTTCTTTTTGGAAAAAAAGTCAATTTTCGCTAACCATAGATGGAGGTGCTCTTAGAGATATAAGGACGGTATAATTGGTGTGAGAGTACGTAAGCTGTGAAATCATAAGGCTGCGCATATATTAAATTTCAAACATGATTGACTATAGTTAAACCTGGCTAAAGTATCAGGGCATAATTGTCGTATACGAGGGAATTGGAATCCGTTCAAATAAATTGCAGTAATGACTTGGACTAAAAAACCAGGCACTAAATATATAACTAGTACCCAACATTATTGACTTAGTATACAAAATTAAATTACAACAAATCAGATATAATTGGTCAAGGATCCAAGAAAATTTAAGTTGACCTCTGCTCTCATCCAAGAAAGTATAGCCTTCTGGTCTGATATTACAATTTGATCATATGAAGAAAACTCACAAAACATGCCTTTTGATTCATTTGTTGATACTTTGTTTGAAGACTTGCTCAATCATTGCAGCAAACAACATCACCACCGATCAATCTGCTCTTCTCGCTTTAAAATCCCATCTCACTGCAGACCCTCGCAATCATCTGAAAATTAATTGGATTACTTCTACATCTACATGCATCTGGAATGGAGATTGCCTTAAATATTTCAAACATGGGCCTTACAGGCACCATTCCTCAAGAGCTCAGAAACCTTTCATTTCTTGTTACTCTGGATTTGAGTGGCAACAGATTCCAGGGAAGTCTGCCTCAGGAGATTGTTTATTTGCACAGACTACGGGTGATCAATTTAAGTTTCAATAACTTCACTGGACAAATTCCTTCCTGGTTTAGCTTCTTATCCGGCCTCAATACTTGAATCTGAAAAAAATTAATTTTGCAGGTTTGATCCCTCATTCTCTGTTCAACCTTTTAAAGCTTGAAATCTTGATTCTATCATCCAACTCCATTCAAGGAATCATTCCGGAGGAGATTCGAAATCTTCATAGCCTGAAGTATGTAGACATTGAAAACAACCAACTTAATGGCTCCATACCATCTTCAGTCTTCAACATATCAACGCTAGAAACTATAGCGCTTGGACAAAATAGCCTGTTTGGAAATCTTCCTACTGATGTATGTCTCAATCTTCCAAAACTGAAAAAGCTAAGTTTGTTTTCGAATAAGTTAAGTGGCCAAATACCATCTAGCTTACCTCGGTGTTCACGACTTGAAATACTTCTTTTGTCCTACAACAACTTTCGTGGGCTCATTCCAAAAGAAATTTGGAACTTGACGACACTAGAATTATTATATCTTGGTGGCAACAATTTGAGAGGTAGGTATAACTTTAGTCATCAACTCTGTTATAGAAATGAGTAAGCCGATGGATGAATGATATGTGGTTTTCAATTAATTATTAATGACTCAAGTTCTTGCAAATTTTTGTCATGAGTTCATTGTATTTTCACATGTTCAATTCCAGAAGGGATTGGTGTTGGACTCTTAATCTAACGTTGGACTTATATGTGAATAATTATGTGTTACAAACTGTCAAGTAAGGTTAAATCCAATTAAAGTGATCAAATATGGTTTGGATTTAATGTATTTAATAGGATGTGGACCTTTAATATGTAAAGACTTAAGAATATTTTCTATTTCTATGATGGGCTGAAATAAGAATCCAAAAGGTAACAGGAATGTTATCTATAAATAGGGTTATGGTCCCCAAATCACACGGATTCTTATTGTCGTATTTTCTAGTACCACTAAATATCTCTTTTTCTAATATCCCATCGTTAGAAAAGATACCAGAGAGAAATTAAATGACTCTCTCAAAGATTGGCAAATACATGTTAACCTGAAAGACCACCTCAAAATCTCTAAGGATTCAAATACCAGTTGATCAATATGAATCCGGGTACGCTTTCGCAATTTTACTGTTAATTTATTTCTTAATAATCACCATATAGATTTTGGATTTAATAGGTGATGGTTGTCACCAAAGGGTTAATATAAACAACCACCCTAACAAGTGGTATCAGAACAGGATATGGTTGATTATTAGGACATAATTTGGATTTAGTATTTTTTTTAAGATTAATTATGTATGATATTGGTGAAGGATCGGCCATCAAGATACTTGTTAAAACTATGATTAGTTGATACGTATTTCGAGAATCAAGTTTATTTGTCTTGATTGCTTAATTTGTTTATATCTTGAATCCCGTGGCCGTTTCTTTGTTTATGATGGATTCAACGCGTGAATGACATTAGGACCATAAAAAAAAAAATTGCAATCGCTTTTAGTTTTGTTTCCATGGCCACTGAATCCAGACTCGTTGTTTTCTTAATACCACGTCACGACGTTGATTGCCATAATGTCAAGTCATGATGTTGATAGATGTCTTTATGATTGTTCTCATGACTTCATGTCTTCGGTCAAAAGCCACTGTAACCAAACTTTTGGGGTGTGTTTGGATCCCTTGTTTTTGGGACTATTTTTGAAAAACTATTTTTCACATTCCAAATGCTACAGTAAATGTGTATTTTCAAAACAACTCCAAAAACATCATATCCAAACATTCCAAATGCTACAGTAAATGGTTGTTTGCTATGATGTTTTGGTTGACCAATTCATTGTTTATTATATCGATTCATTATTATGCAGATTGATATTCAATATGATCCTTTGTAGCTCAATTTGTTTACAATTGGATACTTTGACAGGTTTCCTTACTTATCAATATTTATGTTAAGAAAATTAGAATTTGTCTAATTTGAGTGAACCCTAATAAAGATAAACAAGACATTTAACCCCTACAAAAGTCCATATGTTTGGTCTACTAAATATATAGTTTTATAAAGTATTTACGGATTTCAAGAAAATTTTGGGTTTGAATGATAAATGTGGGTCAAATTATGGATATGAACTTTTAATCCAATAAGTCTTGATCCAATTGATTGGTTTGATCAGATTTGACCACGTTTTGATCGGAATTGACCAAAATTGACTTTGATCAAAATTTGTGTAATTTGTGCAATTTTAAATTTAAATATTTATATGATTATATATTTTTTGAAATAAATTAGTTAAAATAATATGCCACCAACGTGACCTCTATTGTGAAAATTAATTTATTTTAGAATATAACTAGTTGGATACTTGTGATTTTGTGAATATTGATCGGCCCAAAGGAAAGTCAATATTTAATAAAATTGTATGTGCACTTGTGGTAATAAATATGTGATAATTATTCAGATTTTTACATTTGAATTATAAATTAACCCAAGAAAAATTTATTTTTTGATATGTTATTATTGTCAGTGTTTATTACTGCAGCAAGATATGATTTAGAAGTTAATATTTTTGTCCAAAAATAAAATATTAATGGAATATCGGTATCTTGAGATGAGGTTACCTTTATTTGAATTTATTATTATTGTGGTCTATGTGAACTTGTTTTAATTATATTATATTTTTTGTCCAGTTGCGAACAATCTTACAAATATTACTACCAACATCAATAATATTCCTATGCTGAATGGCACAAATTTCAAGTCTTGAAAAGAAAATCTCTTGATAGTACTTGGAATAATGGATCTTGACCTTGCGTTAATAGATGATTCCACCTCACTTCTTACAGATCAGAATACCTCTGATGAAAAGAGGGATAAGAAAAGATGGGAAAGATCAAATCGCTTGTGTCTGATGATCATTAAAAAGGCCGTTCTAGAAGGATTCAGAGAAACAATGTCAGAAACGACAGTAACCGCTAAAGAATTCCTTCAGGACATTAAAAAATTGTTTGTCATGAACGAAAAGACTGAAATTAGTACGCTCTTGACACGTCTAGTTTCAATGAAATATAGTGGTAAAAGTAATATCAGAGAGTACATCATGGAGATATCTCATATTGTTTCAAAATTAAATGCACTCAAATTAGCACTCTCTAAAGAGTTTGATACGAACAAGAGGAGCCATTGGAGCCATGATACCAACCCTTGTTCGTGTCATTCATTTCCATCCAGATTTGAGGACAAATCCTGCTCAAGTGGAGGGGACTGATGTGTGCACGGACCTTAGCCCAAGTAATGACCCAGTCCGAGTTCCATTGGGCCCAGTCACACGTGCACGAGCCAAGCTCTTCAAAGAATCCCTCCAAGCTCTTGTCCAAAACCAACATGGAGTCCATAGAGATATTGAAGGCTTGAAGGATTTTAATCGAGTTATCTACACCATGACCCAAGCCCATGAAGAGTCAAGTGGGCCTCCAAATGAGTTGGCCGAATAGGGCCTTAGGCCTTAGTAGTTATTTAGCAATTGATTAGTGTTTAAGTAAGAGTATGGGCCGGCCCATCTTGTCCCAAGACCACGGGCCGACTTTTCCCTTTCCTAGTCCCTTTAGGGTTTCAGTCACTTTAACCTATAAATAGGCTTGCTTTGTAAGGTTTTAGGGAGACGTTTTATCAATAAAGTTTTGCATATTTTCGATTCTTCTTGAGAGAGAGATTCGACCCCTTTACTTGCTTTGGCAAGGGTTTTGAGCAGTCTTGCGTTCTGTCCTAGATTGTTCTACCGACCTATTCCCCTGGAGTATTCACCTTCATCGGAGTGTCGTCTACCGTCTTGAATCATATCGTGTCGTCCGTTTGGTTCTAGACCCCGCAATTCCAAGCGTTGGACATCCTCGCTAGATCCTTGGGCAAACGTGCTACGTGTCTCGAAACGTGTTGATCGAGGAACGTATCAGTTGGCTTCAGAGCTTTGGTGGAGGTATCTTCCGTTATATCCGTAGTTTTGTCTTAGTTTTCCTTGTTTCCGCTGCCTTGTTTTAAAAAAAAAAAAAAAACGTCACTGTTCATCCGGCACTGTTCACGTTACTGTTCATCCGAACACAAAAATCTGTTGGTGTGTTATCTCCTTTGTGTTGTGTCTAGTTTGTTGATAATTTCTGTCCACAACTTGTTTCTTGCGTTTGAGTCGTTTGTTGCATCAAAAATTCTGGTTGTTGGTGTTTCAACGTTGCTCCCAAATCTGTCTCGTTAGTTGGTTGTCGCTTGGGCAGCAAGAACAATAACGTGACGGCTGCTAGGGTTTCCTTATCTTGCTAGGGTTATCCTTGCGGCTAGGGTTTTCTACTTGCGGCTAGGATGTCTACTTGCGGCTAGGGTTTCTTTGTACTCACTTGGACACTCTCTCTCCTACCTTTTTAGGAAACTTTCCCAAACTCTCTCATCCATTTTTTTTTGGAAACTTTCCTAAATTCTCTCATCCATTTTTTAGGAAACTTTCCTAAACTCTCTCATCCATTTTTTTTTGGAAACTTTCTTAAAGTCTCTCATCTATTTTTAGGAAACTTTCCTAAATTCTCTCATCCATTTTTTTGGAAACTTTCCTAAATTCTCTCATCCATTTTTAGGAAATTTTCCTAAACTCTCTCATCCATTTTTTTGGAAACTTTCCTAAATTCTCTCATCCATTTTTAGGAAACTCACCTAAAATTCTCTCATCCATTTTTAGGACCTTTCCTATATTCTCTCATCCACTTTAGGAAACTCTCCTATATTCTCTTCCTAGATTTTAGGAACACTCTCCTACACTTTCTCCTATATTTTCTCCTAGTTTTTAGGAACACTTCCCTACACTTTCTCCTACATCTCCGTGATTACTCTTGAGGAAGAAGTTGGTGACATTTATTGGACTTGAGCGGCCTTTCTCAACTACCTAACCCAACAGGTAAAGGTATTTGGTAAGTCCATTAGAGTGAGTAATTGTGAGTGATACACGAGTGTCGAGAGAAAACACGTAAGGGAGCGTGAAAAACAATATCTTCGGTTTTGTTACTAACTTTTGCAGGTTCCCTCATACATTCATGGCGAGTACAAGACGCATAAAAGTTAGCTCACCACATTGGCTTCCTGATCCTAAGGGAGTCAAAGAAGTGGCATTACATGGTGTAGATGAGCAATTGGACATCGTCAAATCTCAGTTGCTTGGTTGGTTTTATACTCGTTGTGGTGTCAAAGATAAAATCTGTAGCTTGGCCATTGATGGGAGTTGTGAAGTCAACCTTGCAAGTGCTATCATGGTTGAGAAATTAAATCTTCCAACCATTGATCATCTTCAACCATACAAGTTGACGAGCACTCATGGTAATGTTTGGGTTACTAAGTACACACTTGTACCTATTCAAATCGGCAAATATGTGGATGAGGTGTTGTGTGATGTAGTCCCAATTCAAGTGACACATGTGTTGTTGGGCAAAGCATGGATGTCGAGGCGAGAAATTAAATATGACGGACATACTAATAAGTATTCCTTCTTATTTAATAGCCGTCGTCTTGCACTTGTATCACTTACTTATGACCAACTTTGTATTGATCTAGCATGCATGAAAAGTGAGATTGAGCGTTATAGAATGGAGAAAAAGCTAGATGAGGGAATTGTGCCTGAAGAGGTAAAACCCGAGGGAGTTGAAAATAATGAGATGAAAGGGTCAGCTGTTGAACTAGAAAAAGAGATGGAAAAATCTAATGAGATGGGTGGTAAAAAGGAAGAAAGGAGAGAAAGTGGGCTGATCTTGAGCAACCCGGTGAAGGCCTATTATTTTCCTAACGAACTTACCTCGCTTTGTTTAGTGTTTCTACTTTTATACAGATCAAGCAAAGGCAAGTTGATTTGATCTTGGTGTGTTCCATTCCAAAATCAATTGTAGACTTTGCAAGCCTCCACGAAGTTGGCACTCCAAGAGTTAAACCCCGTTGGTATCCATTCATGGAACAATATCAACTCAAATCAGTCCACACCAAAAGGGAGTTGATTCGAGCTCGTCTTGAAGGGAACACTCCACATTTTGGGGATCGTTGTGTACCAAGGGTTCGTTTAAAGAACAAGTACCACAATGACCATTATGATTTTCGTCTTGCTCTTAGTCCACATGAAGCTCCAACATCACCAAATCCGCCTTGGTGCCTTGCAAGTGTGTTCGAGCCGGAGTTCGATTTCATGGGATACACTTCATACCACTTTGAGGACCCTTACCTCATGACCACAAACGATCAAGTTGAGCATACATTGAAGATGGTTTGTGCGATTCAAGGTTCGACAAGGGTTATGTTCCAACTTAGCCCATGGGCTTTACATTGGATGCCATCTGTAGCCATCATAACAAGATTGAGTCGAAGGCATGTAACTCGTCTTGTCACCATTCGTGCTTCAATTTGTGGGCAAATTGCTTTCAAGAGGGGGGGGAATGATACGAACAAGAGGAGCCACTGGAGCCATGATACCAACCCTTGTTCGTGTCATTCATTTCCATCCAGATTTGAGGACAAATCCTGCTCAAGTGGAGGGGACTGATGTGTGCACGGACCTTAGCTCAAGTAATGACCCAGTCCGAGTTCCATTGGGCCCAGTCACACGTGCACGAGCCAAGCTCTTCAAAGAATCCCTCCAAGCCCTTGTCCAAAACCAACATGGAGTCCATAGAGATATTGAAGGCTTGAAGGATTTTAATCGAGTTATCTACACCATGACCCAAGCCCATGAAGAGTCAAGTGGGCCTCCAAATGAGTTGGCCGAATAGGGCCTTAGGCCTTAGTAGTTATTTAGCAATTGATTAGTGTTTAAGTAAGAGCATGGGCCGGCCCATCTTGTCCCAAGACCACGGGCCGACTTTTCCCTTTCCTAGTCCCTTTAGGGTTTCAGTCACTTTAGCCTATAAATAGGCTTGCTTTGTAAGGTTTTAGGGAGACGTTTTATCAATAAAGTTTTGCATATTTTCGATTCTTCTTGAGAGAGAGATTCGACCCCTTTACTTGCTTTGGCAAGGGTTTTGAGAAGTCTTGCGTTCTGTCCTAGATTGTTCTATCGACCTATTCCCCTGGAGTATTCACCTTCATCGGAGTGTCGTCTACCGTCTTGAATCATATCGTGTCGTCCGTTTGGTTCCAGATCCCGCAATTCCAAGCGTTGGACATCCTCGCTAGATCCTTGGGCAAACGTGCTACGTGTCTCGAAACGTGTTGATCGAGGAACGTATCAGAGTTATTAGTGCATTTGATTTTAATATCTCTTCATACATAATTTAACCAATTTAAAGTGAGTTACAACTGTCAAAAAGAGACTTGGTCCCTAAATGAGCTCATTTCACACTCGCAGAAGAAGAGGAAAAGTTGAAGCAAGATCAGACAGAGAGTACTTATCTGGTCTCAACCACTAATAATAAAAGCAAGGAGCTTAAGAGAAAGAAGAACAAAGAACCTGCAGATATGGCACCACAAAAGAAACAACAAAAGAAATTAGTTGATCAGGGAAAGAATAGTTGTTTCTGTGGAAAGGTATAAAAAGAAGCATTGCACCAATTATCACGCCTGGCGTGCTATGAAAGATATGCTTCTTAATTTGGTTTGTTCTGAAATTAATTTAACTTTGGTACCTAGACACACATGATAGTTAGATTTTGGTGCAACAACTCACATCAGTGTATTTATATAGGGTTGCTTGAATTGTCAAAAAGTTAATGATAATGAAAGATATATCCTAGACACACATAACGGTTAGATTTTGGTACAACAACTCACATCAGTGTGTTTATGAAGGCTTGCCTGAATTACCGAAAGGCTAATGATAATGAAAGATATATCTACGTGGGCAATGGCAAAATAGTTCAAGTTGAAACAATAGGGGTTTTTACATTATTATTAAAGACCGGATTTTATTTGGATTTTAAAGAAACATTTGTTGTACCGTCTTTTCGACGGAATTTAATTTTTATTTCTGTTTTGGAAAATTTTGGTTATTTTTGTTCATTTAAAAATGAAAAATTTAAATTGTTTCATGATTCAAAATTGGTTGGTTCTGGTTCTTTAATGCACTACGATAATCTATATTTAACTAATACAATTGTCTCATTTAATGAATCTCTACATTTGAGTACTAGAGGAGTAAAAAGAAAATTAACTAATGAGAATTCAGTTGCATTATAGCACAAGAAATTGGGGCCTATCTCCAAACGGAGAATGGAAAGACTTGTGTCAAATGAAATTCTCGACCCCTTGAATTTTACAGATTTTGATGATTGTGTTAATTGTATAAAAGGGAAAACAAACCAATAAAGGAGATTTGAAACTAATAAGTCCTTAGATATTTTAGAACTTATACATACAGATATTTGTGGGCCATTTCCTACATGTGTTTCGAATGGTCAACAATATTTTATAACGTTCATAGACGATTTTTCAATATATGGCTACATATTTCTTATTTCTAAAAAATCACAGTCACTAAACGTGTTCAAAAATTTTAAAATTGAAGTTGAGAACCAACTCAACAAAAGGATTAAAAGTATCAGATCTAATCGTTATGGTGAGTACTATGATAGATATGACGGTCCAGGTAAACAAGATCCAGGACCATTTGCTAAATATTTAGAGGAATGTGATATCGTCCCACAGTACACTATACTGGATTCACCCACTATGAATAGTATAGTTGAAAGACGAAATAGAACGCTTAAAGATATAGTAAGGAGTATGATATGTCATTCTACTTCATCAGAATCACTCTGGGGAAAAGTACTTAAAACTGCAGCATTTATTTTTAACAGAGTTCTAACTAAAACAACTATCAAAACCCCTTATGAGTTTTAGACAAGGAAAAAACTTAGTTTAAAGCATTTATATATTTGAGGATGTCCAGTTAAGGTAAGGCTTTATAGGCCAAATGAAAAGAAATTGGATTCAAGAACGGTTAGTTATTATTTTATTGGATACTCTGAAAGATTTAGGAGTTACAAGTTTTATGATCCCACGACTAAATTGATTTTCGAAATAGAAAATGCCTAATTCTTTGAGGATGTCGAATTTAAGAGAGAAAATACAATAAGGGATATTTTTTTAAAGAGAAATATGTAAATATTCCTACAAGTGTTATTGATCTTGTTCAAGATCCCATTCCTGACCTTGATCATGACATAACGAATCAAGACAATATCGAAGAACAAACTATTACACAAGAACAAAATCTTTATTTCCAAGAACCAATGCCATTAAGAATATTCATTAGAGAAAGGAGAAGTGCAATACCAGATGATTACATTGTCTTTCTTCAGGAACATGAAAATGACACTGGATTGATGGAAAATGATCCAATCAACTTTCGTCAAGTAATGAAAAGTTTAAATTCTCAAAAGTGGATCGATGCTATGAATGAGGAGATTAAATCTATAAAAGACAATGATGTTTAGAATCTTGTCCCATTGTTAGAAAGTGCGAAACCCATTGGTTGTAAATGGATATTTAAAATCAAGAGAAATTCAAAAAATAATGTGAAAATATACAAAATTCGTCTTGTCATTAAGGGATTTATATAAAAAGAAAGTATCGACTATAAAGAAACCTCCTCTCCGGTCTTTTCAAAGGATTCTTTTAGAATTATCATGATATTAGTGGCGCATTTCAATCTTGAATTACACTAGATGAATGTAAAAAAGCGTTTCTCAATGGTGACATTGATGAGATGATTTATATGGTACAACCGAAAATTTTGTATCAAGAGATCTAAAAAATATGGTTTACAAATTTAAATAATCCATCTATGGGTTCAAACAAGTTTCTCGACAATGGTATTTCAAATTTCATCAAATAATCATTTCATTTGATTTTGACATGAATTTAGTAGATAATTGTATATACTATAAATTCTATGGGAGCAAGTATATTTTTCTGGTATTGTATGTTAATGATATTTTACTTGTCAGCAACGATATAGGTCTGTTGCATGAAATTAAGAGATTTCTAACTAAGAATTTTGAGTTAAAAGATCTTAGTGATACATCTTTTGTGTTAGGCATACAGATATACCCGGATCGCTTTCGAGGTATTTTGAAACTATCACAAAAGCGTTATATTGAAAATATTTTTAAAAAGATATAGCATGTAAAATTGTAAATCAGGTGACACCCCTGTAGCTAAAGGAAACAAGTTTAGTTTTGAACAGTATTCTAAGAATACTTTTGAGGAAAAAAGAGATGCAAAAGATTCCTTATGCGTCAGCAGTAGGGAGTTTGATATATGTTCAAATTTGTACGCGTCCGAATATTGTATATATTAATGGGATGTTGGTTAGATATTTAAGCAACCTTAGATTAGATCATTGGAAAGCAATTAAACGGGTCTTGTTGTATTTACAAAAAATAAAAGACTACATACTCACGTATCGGAGATCAAATAAACTCGAGATCATGGGTATACTGATTCCGATTATATTGGATGCTAAGATACTATGAAGTCAACATTATATTATATTGATTTATTGGTTGGAGGTGTCATATTCTGGAAGAGTGCTAAACAGTCTTTTATAATATCTTCTACTATAACCGCAGAGTTTATAACTTGTTATAAGGCGTCCAACCAGGAAATTTGATTGCGAAATTTTATCACAGGATTACGTAAAATGGATAGTATTAAAAAACCACTCAAATTATGTTGTGGCAATAAGTCAGCAGTTCTATATTCCAATAACAACAGAAATTCGACAAAATCTAAACATATAGATATCAAGTTTCTGACTGTTAAAGAAAGAGTACAGAGTGGACAATTATTGATAGAGCATATTGGAACAAACGCCATGGTTGCGGATCTGTTTATTAAGGGATTGCCACCCAAAATATTTCATGAGCACACTGCTCATATGGGTGTCCTATTATTAAATGATGTACAGTTTTAGTGAGAATTTATTATTTTAAATACTCTTGCGATAATTTTCAGTTATTAATATTTTAAGAATATTTTATACATAAATAAAGTTTGAATTTATTTACACTCTGACTTTGGTACGGTTTGATTTCATGAAAATTTAAGATGGACGAGTTGAAAATAGGCATGTTATGATCATATTACATGAAATTTTCATGTTACATATCCACATCATGATTCATGTCATTCAATTATATCAATATATGTGATCATTGATGGGTCGAGTTACGAAACTGTAACAAAGACCGCTTTGATCCTATGTTAATGTAATTGATGGATTAAATTAGCTACAGATACATTTCAATAATGACAGTAAAGTTGAGCTCATACGGTTAATTGCAAAACATAATTCTAAGGTTACACATATAGTCCAAGTGGGAGATTGTTAGATTTTTAATCCAACGTTAGACTTATATATGAATAATTATGTATTGCAAACTGTCAAATAAGATTAAATCCAATTAAAGTGATCAAATATGATTTGAGTTTAATGTATCTATTAGGGTGTGGACCTTTAATGTGAAGAGATTTAAGAGTATTTTTTATTTCTATGATGGGTTGAAATAAGAATTCAAAAGGTAACAGAATGTTATCTATAAATAGGGTTATGGTTCTCAGATCGCACGGATTCTTATTGTCGTATTTTCTAGTACTACAAAATAGTTCTTTTCTGATATCCCATCGTAAAAAAAAAATATCAGAGAGAAATTAAAGGGTTCTCTCAAGGATTGGCAAATACGTGTTAACCTGGAAATCCACCCCAAAATCTCTAAGAATTTAAATACTAGTTTGTCAATATGAATTCAGGTACGCTTTCGCAATTGTACTGTCAATTTATTTCTTAATAATCGCTATATAGATTTTGGCTTTAATAAATGATGATTTTCACCAAAGGATTAATATAAACAACCACCCTAACAGTTGGTGCCCTATGCAATTTAAAGATGTTAGGTTTGGAGGAAAACTAGTTTGAGGGCTCTATACCAAGAAAATTTGGCAATCTGACAATGCTCAAGCGGTTGTATCTTGGTTTCAACAACTTGACAGTTATACAAGATGTCAAATTAGGGGAACAAATAATGTAGTAAAAATTGACAGTTTATCATGTAATTTTGCAGGTGAAATTCCAGAAGAGATCAATAATCTACATTTCTTGGAATATTTATACCTTCACGATAACCAGATTATGGGCTCTATACCGGCTAACATATTCAATATCTCATCCTTAAGGGTTATTTCTTTGAAAGTTAAGAAACTAAATGGCACCATTCCAGAAAATATGTGCCATAGGCTTCCAAACCTTGAAGGGCTTTACCTATATGGAAACCTATTGCATGGACAAATGCCAACAGGTTTACTTGAATGCTTGGCACTTCAAGAGTTTACTTTAGAAGAAAATGAACTCACTGGAACCATTCCAAGAGCAATTGGGAACCTGACATTTCTCACGAGAATCTACCTTGGGCATAATAAGTTCACAGGTATGTATGGCAACTTCCCAGAAATGGTAGAACCTTCCAATAGGTGTGCTCATGTTTTCAGCTTATTTCTAGACACAAACATTTTTATTTCTAGATATAAACATTTTTAAAAACACTAATTTAATAGGCAAAATATCACAAGGTAGGCAATCTAGCAAGCTAGAAGATTTTAGCTTGATAGTCAACAGCATAACTGGTCCAATACCAGTTGAAATATTCAATATCTCAACTCTGGTAATTCTTTCATTGGTGGGAAATCATCTCTCTGGAAATCTTCCATCAAGCATGGGTAGTCGATTACCCAATTTGGAAACTGTCTACCTGAGCCTTAATGACCTTGATGGAGTGATAGCACCCTCCATATCAAATGCTTCAAAACTAGCTTACTTAAACTTATCTAATAACAAATTCAGTGGCTTGATTTCCATGTCGCTTGGAGGTCTAAAGCATCTGAAAAAATTGGATTTCATGGTGAATAATCTTACAAGTGAACCTTCATCTTCTGAGTTGAGCTTCATCGCTTCCCTAACAAATTGCAAAAATCTAACAAGATTGGGTATGAATGATAATCCTTTGAATGGTAGTCTTCCCTTATCTATTGGAAATCTTTCAGCCTCTTTAGAAAGAATTTATGCATACAACTGTGAAATTAGGGGAAATATTCCACAAGGACTTGAAAATTTGAGCAGCTTAGTGATATTGACTCTGTCCAAAAATCGCTTGACTAGATGTTTTGCAACATCAATTGAAGGTTTTCAAGACCTCCAAGGTATATCTCTCAATGAAAACCTTTTGACTGGAACCGCTTCAGAAGATATTTGCACCTCGAAGAGCTTGTACAATTTGTATTTGCACAAAAACCAAATTTTTGGTTCACTTCCTTCATGTACAGGTAACATGACTTCTTTGAGATATCTCAGCATTGCCGAAAACTCATTGAACTCCAGCATACCAACTACTGTCTTCCAACTTCTTCAGTGACATACTACCTAAAGAAATTCAAAATTTGAAGGCGGCAACATATATTAGTTTGGCAGCAAATCATATCTCAGGAAACATTCTGAGCTCAATTGGAGATCTGCAAATGCTACTAACACTTTCTTTGGCAGAAAATAAGCTACAAGGATCTACTCCAGACTCTATGGGTGACATATCAAATTTGGTGTTCTTGGACTTATCCAATAATAATCTTTTAGGTCTAATCCCAAAGTCCATGGTGGTACTTCAATTTCTCAGTTACATCAATCTTTCTTTAAACAATTTACGGGGTGAAATTCCCTTCGATGGTCCTTTTAAAAACTTCACGAGTCAAGCATTCATGTCTAATAAAGGGCCATGAGGTATTACAAGATTTCTTGTTCCTCCATGTAGCACTTCCATAGATCACAAGTCAACCAGGAAGAAAACATCTCATGTGATATTAATTACATCAGGCATTGGAGCAGCATTAATGGCTATAACCTTTGTTAGGATCCAAGTGCGGAACATACAACTATTGAAATATCAAATACACAATAATTTAATGACAAACAAGCCATAAGCATGAAAGATAAACAACACACAATATTTAACGTGGTTTGACTCCACCATTGAGTCTACGTCCACGGAGAGAAACCCGTTCTTTATTATGAGAAGAAAATCCTATACAAGAATACAATTTGAATCCAAACCCAACTCTTGTATACCATCTCTCATTTCCCAAGAACCCTCTCTCACACCCCATGTATAAGGTTACATGATGCCCTTATGTCTCCTTGTGCTCTGTTGTGTAGTATACCAACCCACCTATTTATAGATAATATTATTTGGTTAAAATCCAAATAACAATAGGAAACCAATTCTAATTTCTAAACTTATATAGAATAGAAAATAACTTCTAATCCTAAACTAAATAGGAAATTTCTTGGCTACTACTTCAAGTAACTAAAATCAATTAGGAAACTAGTTGCTTCCACACAAAACAAGAAACTTACCTAAAAGAAATTAAACCAATTTTCTAATAAATCTTCACCTTGGCAAAAATTTCTTTTAGTAACCATTTGCTTTCAATTACCAAATAATATGGTATCGAACTACACACCCGAATCAATATAGTCTTGATACCATATTGATTCAATCGGCAAATGAACCTATATAGTTATTCCTAATCCAACTTCCAGTTGACTCATAAGAAGGTGTCTCAATTCACCATCTCCCTTTGCAGGATTTCTTCTCCACCTTTTTTCTAACAAATCTCCACCTTGGCGAAAATTTCTTTTAGCAACCATTTGCCTTCAACTACCAAATAATATGGTATCAAACTACATACCCAAATCAAACAGTCTTGATACCAAATGAACTTGTGTTTTCTAACAAATGAAACTGTGTAGTTATTCCGAATTCAACCTCCAGTTGACTAGTAAGAAGGTATCTCAATTCACCATCTCCCTTTGCAGGATTTCTTTTCATCACCACTTGCAATCCGACATTCTCTTTTGTGAGCTCTAACCCTAATCATTGAGGTAACCAAGTGGTAAAATCACCATACTTCTTCCCATCTTTATGACTATCTCGTCCTGTGTGGTTTCCAAGACTCCACCTAAAACGAAAAACTAGTAACTGTCAGAGTCTTCTGATGAATGAAAATTAGATCTCTTTGTTTATTTGGGACATGTGCCATCACCCAAAAAACATAACTAAAATCTAAAATTCATCGGGATGAAGTATCAACTGCCATTGGAGATGTGAGAAAGTCTCCACCAATTTACGTCTAAAATCAACATTGGACTCCGCCTTTTTCTTGACTTTTGAATCACCTGCCCAGATTCACTGTCAAGTGTCCATACTTTTCAGCTTTCCATTCTTCACCTTCAATGCTTTTTGCCAAACCATTGAAACAAGGACATAACCCATTAAATTGTTCAATTGGTAACAGCTGCCAATCCACTTGATCTTAATAGTTAACCAGAATCCAATCTTGAACAACCAAACTCTTAATCCAACCATTCCATTTGTTGGGATCCAAGTGCTTGTGAGCAGCCCAATTTGGCAACCAAGCTCTGATACTACTTATTAGGATTCAAGCGCGGAACACATAACTATTGAGATATCAAGTACACGACAATTTAATAACAAACAAGCCACAAACATGAAAGATAAATAACATATAATATTTAACGTAGTTCGACTCTACCATTGAACCTACGTCTACGGAGAGAAATCCGTTCTTTATTATGAGAGGAAAATGCTATACAAGAATACAATTTGAATCCAAACTCAACCCTTATATACCATCTCTCATCTCTCAAGAACCCTCTTTCATACCCCATGTATAAGGCTACATGATGTCCTTGTGTCTCCTTGTGTTTTTGTTGTGTAGTATGCCAACCCACTTATTTATAGATAATATTATTTGGTCAAAACCCAAATAACAACAGGAAACCAATTCTAGTTCTTGGACTTGCATAGAATAGGAAATAACTTCTAATTTCAAACTAAATAGGAAATTTCTTGGCTATTGTTTCAAGTAACTAAAATCAATTAGGAAACTAGTTACTTCCACACAAAACAAGAAACCTACCTAAAAGAAATTAACCCAATTTTCTAACAACCTTAACAATAGTATATCTAAGGTATCGAAACAAAACTGAGGTTGGTAGGACAGAAGGGATATTGGAGTTTAGAACTTTACAAAGGATTTCATATTATGAGCTTTTACAAGCAACTAATGGTTACCAGGAAAACAATTTTTTTGGCACAGGGAGTTGCTGATTTGTCTACAAAGGGATTTTAAAAGATAGGATGCTAGTGGCGGTTAAAGTGTTCAATTTGCAAGTGGAAATTTCACTAGGGAGTTTCGAAGAGAATGTGAAGTGTTTTGCAACGTTCACCATCAAAATCTCACAAAAGTACTTGGTAGTCGCGATAATAATGATTTCAAAGCTCTAGTTCTTGAATTCATGCCTAATGGTAGTCTTGAAAAGTGGTTGTATTCCCACAACTATTTCTTGGATATAATGTAGAGATTAAACATAATGATAGATGTGGCATGTGCAATTGATTATCTTCATAATGGCTACTTGACACCAGTGATTCATTGCGATTTGAAGCCTAGTAATGCCCTGCTAGATGCAGAAATGGTTGCTCATGTAACTGACTTTATGGATAAAGACGACAGCATTGTCTACACAAGGACGCTAGCCACCTTTGGTTATATTGCACCGGGTAAAGTCTAAAACTAACTCTTCAATTTTCTTTTAAATTCCAATTTTGCTTCAAGTCCTTTGCAACAGAGGATGTAATTGATTCTTTAAAGACAATGGATCACCACTTCAGAATATGGTTTGGAAGGACTAGTATCAACGAGATGTGATGGTTCTAGTTTTGGAATCATATTGATGGAAACTTTTATGAGAACAAAGTCCAGTGATGAAAAGTTTACAGGAAATTCGAGTCTCAAACTTTGGATGAAAGACTCCATGCCGCATAGTGTATAATTGAAGTTTTGGATGATAACTTACTAAACCCAAATGAAGAGAACTTCACAAGAAAATTGGAGTGTGTTTCTTTAGTCATGGAATTGGCTTTGCATTGCACTGCAAAATCTCCTAAAGAAAGGATCGGCATGAAAGATGCTCTTGCAGCTCTAGGGAAGATTAAGGTTTAGTTTCTATGATTAGGTAGGACCTAAATACTAAAACTCTGCTTTCTAGATTTGATTTTTTGTAGTTGACAATTCTAAGTCCTAATAGAGCACCAATGCCTGTAAATCATTTTCCTAGCCATTAATAAAACGTTTTGTTAGATCTCAAAATAACAACATCCTTTTGAATAGAAGGAAAAATATTTAGTTTGACAGGATTCAAACCTCTGATGCCAATAGTCAATCAAGATCCAATCATGAATCCCACTCTAATACCAGTTTAGTGGGTTCCGATGCGAAATAAATCACTATTAAAATATTAAGTACATAATAATTTAATGATAAACAAGTCACTAGCATAAAAATAAACAATAATGGTATCTGTCAAACTACCAAAAATAAAATTTATATCGATACCTACTCTCAAAACTAAATGCATACAGTGATGAGTAGGGTCGTCTTCTCAGGAAACTGACAGATTTATTACACAGATAATTTTGGGGGGGGGGTTTCAGGAAGGGAGATATAAAGAACAAATTAAAGATGTAAGGGTACTGAATTTCCACTTTGCAAATAGTGCAGTAGCTAAAGGATATAATAAACAATTAATTGACACAACCTAGTCAAGGAAATAATTTCGGCACCGACTCACGCAATTGATCATGGATACCTGGAATAATTCACACGTTCGTAAGTAAATTGGTTCTACCAATTCAGCAACCGCCAAACTACCAATCTCTCCATAGTTATATGGTGGTCCAAAGACGCTCTTAAACTACTCCCTTATAAAATAGATAACCCCAAAGACGCTCGTAGGATTTAATCTATTCACAACTTTACGAATTAGAGAGACCCAATTCTAGTTAATAAATACACATGCGGGTTCATTTAACTTAGATTAACTATTCCTACAACACAGATTAAATTACTTGCGAGGCAATTAAATTGTGCCGTTTGCCATTAATTTTTAGACGAGCAAGTGATACACACCACCGTCTTAATTGGCAATGTACCATTCAGGCAATTGAATAACTGGCCACACATTAATCTAATAGATCCAAACAATAATAGCCTATTAAAACAAAAAATAATTAAATACCCACTAACGTAAAATTTAAAATAGCGCAGAAAAATTAAAAAGATCTCACAATTGTCCGTGCACCGGATCTTGATTATTCCTCAACTAGATAAAGGAATCTAGCCTTGCCTCATAACGATGGTGAAATTGAAAGCTTTTCTGGAATTTAGTCGATGAAAAAGTAAAAGGTATAGACGCTAGTCTCTAACTCACGTTCCGAAGCAAAAGATAAAGACAAAAGATAAAAAAAATAAACTGCTAGTCTGTTGCTTTTCTATTTAA